TCTTCACATTGGTCTGCAAATAGTGCATTTTGGGAAAGTGTGATGCGAACAATCCAGAAGTGGAGAAAGTTTACCTTCAAAGTAAAAGTTGTGCCTTGTGAAATATGTTAATTGAAAGAGAACCTTCCACATTTCTGGTTTGTGTCACACTTTTCTGTTTCATTAAAACTACAGCTGAAGTAATATACCAGTGACTGAAACAACCACAACTAGGCTTCATGTGTTTGTCATATGGTTGCAGACCAGTCTCTAGGCCTGTGTGACAAACCTTTTCCCTTGGTTTTACATTGTCACCATGATTTATGTCATCAGTGGTATCCTGTTGTTAAAAGGACAAAAATGATGCTGAGTGAATGGTGCTAATGCAGCTGGGTGGCTAATCCAAAGTGAAAGCAAAATGTGTAGTTTGAGCTTAATTCACAGTACTGTATACCACAGTGTTTAAATATCATTTTGCTTATCAGTCATTGTGTTGGGTAGTTCTAATCTATGAATGGCAGCAGCAGCAGGTACTCTAATAAGTTGTTGTTGCTGCCCTCTGTATTCTAAAAGGACGTTTTGCCACCAGCAGCCAGCAGGGAGTTATTTTGGACTATCTAAATGAATAGTGATATAGCTGTAATGTCAACAGCCAATTCAACAAGTTTAAAAAAATGATTATTTTTTCCTCCCGCAGGTTATAATTGCTCCACATAAGCACAAATACACGGCATTGTGATTTAATTAACGGCTCAACCCCGACTGCCAACACAGCATCTCGTGGCACTTTGATGCCTCATCCCACCAAAGAGCTTGAACAAATGTCCTGCTAACTCACACTACTAACACAGTAAGTCAAGACAAATGATAAGAGCACTTATCTACATCTGTACTACGAATAGAAACGTTTGCCCCCACACGGTACAAAGTGTCGTAAACTTCAACTTTTAATGTAGCAACTTGATTGGCTTATATGTTTCCCAGTAATCAGCAAAATGCCCGCTTTGGCGTGATGGACTTCTCCCACTGATTGCTATTGGGGATTATGTAAGTGCCATGTGTTTCTCATGCAGTGCCTCTGATATACATTTATCCCGTGAGCGTTAGCAATTAGAGCAATTAATGTTAATATATAATAATAAATACATTTTAATAAATCATATTAATGCATACTGTATGTTGTGAGGTAAGAATGAACCGAGGGCTGTTTTTTTTTTTTCTTCGGCAAACTGGGAGCCAGAGAGTTCTCAACACCTAATTTAATATTAATATATATTTCACAGGCTCATGGTTCTAAACTTTATAGTGTACAGTTGGCAGCACCTTCTGGTAGATATGACAACATTAAGTGGAATGAATATTAGTCCTCTTGAGGAGAACTGTAAGTGAACAGATTTGGACAGTGAAGGGCCCATGTGGCCAATAGATATTCCAAACAGATGGTCTAAATGTAAATCTAAAACGTAGACTTCAAAAGGATAACCGTGCTGAGGCCCAGTGATGTTAAAAAAGAGAAGAAAAGCTACCTAGCAATGACCTATATGACTCGAGTAAAGAGAAAACCAGACTCTTCACAATCACAGAATATCATCTGATTTGTTGATGGCTTCAGAATGCTAGCTCTGTAGTAAGGGCTGTGAGCCAGTTAGTCGTCTAATGAGCTACAGCCGACCGAAAACTTGTGTCCCCCGAGGCAGGCCGTGCCAAAAGAAATTAAGCATGGGCTGGATTATTCCCCTTGTACAGATGCCCACTCTCTGCAGTCTTCTTTTATATCTCCCATGCCAAGTCTAAGTTTTTAACTTTGAGAGAAAAGAGGAGGAGAAGGAGGAGGAAATACTGGGAGAGGGGCGGAGTGAAACGTCTCCTCACGTCCTGACTTACACCTCTCCGGCACTCGCTGCTGACACATCATTTTCCATCCCTCTCCATGTTACTTACTCCCAGCTCCTCCTCTCTTTATCTCGATCTGCGTCTGACTTTTTCTTTGTCCTTCCTCCCCCTCCTCCCTCGCTGTATCCGTTTCACCGTCCTCTATCTCTCCTCCCTTTGCAAAATCCTTCTCTCACTATTTTCATCCTTTGCTTCGCTCTCCATCCACCTCAGCAGCGGCAGCAGTAGCTATTGAGGGGGGTCAAGTAAGGTAAAAGCTCACATGTCTCATGCAAACTTGATGACATAACACCACTCTAGGGGTTGCTTTCATAGTTTGCACAGTTGCCTTTTTTCTTTTTTTGGTTGTGCAGAATCAAGAGGAAATCCCCCCCCCCCGAGAAATACTGAATATTGAGAAAATATGAATGTAAGGATCACCGTGTTAAATTTGAAAGGCATTATGCAATCACTGAAGCCTTTTCTGTGTTTTTATAAGAGCAAAAAATACGGTTTTAGCACCGTAATTACAAAGAGAAGTGAGCACTTTCCGGTGCCTCACCTGACTAGCGCTCCCGCACAAAATCCGATCTTGAGTGTCTGCCGCCGGCGTTGTGCCAGACAGGCTTGAAGCAAGAACAACGGCACGTCTGATTCGATAACCCCAGACACATAATCTGGTTTTAGGTCTCTACGTAATGACGGTGTGTAAATATCATCAAATTAAGGCATGATTTGATTGGGAATGAATGCAATTCCTTCAATGGTCAGGAAAACACCTAGAGGGCCTGACGGCTGGCTGGCTAGCAGCCTTGTTTGCTCCTGTTTTTCCCCCCCCCCCCCCCCCCCCCCCCCCCCCCCCCCCCCGCCTTCACTGGGTCTGTAAAAGTGTGTTTTGCATTCAAACACTCATCTAAATGAGTTAGGCCAAAGCCTCAGGCAACAGGCACAACATGAAAAGCACATTATGACTGGTGCTGATTTTCCCCAAGCTAAATATAACATAAAGGGCTGCTGCTGGAGACTAACCTACTGAATTGCTTTTTTCTTCCCCGATGACTCACTCTATAAATGTAATGCCTAATTTTGGTCATTTTAATGATATTTTAGGAATAAATAAACAGATGGTCTAGTGAGATTAAACAGTAGTTTGTTGCATAGATGCAACAGTATGGTGGAAATTTTAAAAAGCAACTATGGGTAATAATTCTTGCAAAGTACAGTGTGCTGAATGTGTGGAAAGAGCAACTTGCCACCATGTCCTTGTTTAAGTGAGCTCTTTAAAATGTTGTTGTTACATCTGAAAATGACTTATACCATTTTTCTCATTAACATTTTCCCCAGCTCCTACCTAACATAAGAGGCACATTACAACGTGAGATTAAAGTCATCCGTCTTTTTACCTGGATAAATCACCGTGGTAACTTGTGCTGGACACATAACCTGGCAGGGTTATGCAGTTAGTGGGGTTAGGTTAGTTGTTGACTCTAAATTGCTTATAGGTGTGAATGTGAGTGCAAATGGTCGTCTGTCTCGCTCTGTTAGCCCTGCGACTGTCCAGGGTGTACCCGCCTCTCGTACTGTGAAAGCTAGGATAGGCTTCAGCTCGCCCCACGAAACCCTGAATTGGATAAGCGGAGGAGAATGAATGGATGGGGTGGCTGTCGCTCAGGAGGTATAGGAGGTCATCTTCTAATCGGAATGTTGGCGGTTCAATCCATGACTGCTCCAGTCTACATGTCAAAGTACCCAAGTTGCTCTGAATGTGAGTGAACATTAGATAAAAGCACTTCAGCATAGAAAACAAGCTGGTGTGAATAGGTGTGAATGGCTGAATGCACTTTTCTGGTCTAATTTCCATCTTATTTGTTGTGTGTTGCATTTTACTGTTATATTTTGTGTACCTTACAGAATTTGTTGAATTTTAATTTCACCACTTTGTCACCACCATTTAACAGTATCTCTGATTGCAGTAGGCGACACTCATAAGGATAGTCTTGCGTAGAAGAAGAGTCACATGATGCGTGAAACAGAAAGCACGGCTTAACAAAGAAAGATGGTTACCATCGATGTCATACCTATTATTTCAGACTGGGTTTGAAGTTTTGTTAGTGTCCTTCATAGCATATCACTCTGGTATAAGATCCTCCAAATAAGCAGAATATTGGCCAATAAGTCTGAGAGTTGCAATTGTCAGTTAAAGCGATTCTCTTCATTTATCTGATATTGAGTGAAATAATTAATTAGAAATTCCTGCAACGTAATAGAACAGTATTAATGTGTCTTTTCTTTTTTTCCTGTATAAAAAATATGAGAGTCCAAAGCACAGCAACGAAAAGAGGCAAACGGAACTAGCGTCTGAGGCTACGTTCACACTGCAGGTCTTAATGCTCAATTCCGATTTTTGGATCAAATCCGATTCTTTTTTTGTCTGCTTGTTCACACTACAAATAAAATGCGACAGCAAACGCGCTCTAGTGTGAACCCTCAATGCGCAAAAGAAGACGTCACACACAACACGCTCTGTTTAGACCCAGAGCAAACAGTATTGTTTGACTGATGGCCCTTAATATAAAGACTTCAGATTTTACGTTTCCCAATTTTTGCTTTAAGTTATTTTGTTATTTACATAATAATGTAAATAACCTAATAATGATCCTTATTTCTGTTTTAGAGAGGAGCGGTGCTTCAAAGGACAGTTGCAGTAGAATTTCTAGAACATCAATTAAGAAACACATTCGCCAATTTGAAAACACATAAGGCTGCATATGCTGCAGATACAAAAACACTGACGTCAACTAATCATCAATGTTGTTCCAAAAGAGCAATCAAAAGATAATGGCTCCATACCTAGATTCAGCCAATTACTTGTTCATTATTTTTTGTGTTGCCACAAATGCGGTTATTGTGTACTTGGCTTGTACCAATCTCTCTGTTTGCCTGTTTCCTGTACTCGCTGTGTGTTTCTTATGCTGCATACTGTGTGTGCTATCAACTGGTCGATATGTTTCTTGATTTGCTTGCTGTTTTACTTATTATCTTGTCAGAGAGGTGGTAATGTTTTCTTGCACTCCCTTGTGTTTGCTTAATCTGCAGGGTTTTAAGCTCAAGCCAGTGACATCTCATCTAAACGTGGGACGATGCCATACCTTCCACAGCTCTTTTGAAGAAGACCTTGCAGCTTCCGCATGTTACGACTCCGTAGTGACAACCTGATGCCTCATCTCCACAAACCAGGCACACTTTGGCCGTCGAGGACGGTTGTCTCAGTGGCGAGCTGAAAGGACACACATAAGAGTTCTTCAGACGAGGCATAAATTAACAAGGAATACTCAAAAGTCAACAATAAAACCAGGGCTGACTGTCCCCTTCCCATCTGCATTACGGCATGATGCGCACTGTGAAACATTCTTGGGTTTTTACAACCCACTGACAGTAGCAGCACAATGTGGCTAGCCATAAAAATGTCTGCCAACCGGGAGAGGAGGGCTTTACGCTCCTCGGATTTATGGTTTCTCCAAGCTTACCAGGATGACACTGAAAGAATTATAGAGGAGATTATTTAAATTCAATAAGCAGAGAGAAACAGAGCAGGGTGTCAAATTTAAGTGGGATCCAAAACACCTCTTCTCTGGCATGAAACCGGACTGGAAAAAGAGTTCAGAGGTGGACTAAAATGTCAAAAACCACGGTGGAACAAAAGCCCTACTGTGTTATAGGTAAAACTATATATCGAGTTCAAGGCCAAAGATCGCAGGTGTGATTCAGCACTGACGTGTGCTGTACTGTAAATAGCATGACGTGTTGAATTTACTCGAAACAACGCAACAAACAGGCAAGACAACACGAGTGATGAGTCTGCTGATCTAAGGCGTTGTTTACTCTGGCATCATTTACTTCTTTTACCACTGACTGATTCCTGCCATTACAGGCTCATTAAATCGCAGGATAAACAGTATGTTCTTACTAATGCGCTGTTAAATGGGAGAATTAGTTAAGACTTGCAGTTTACCCACTCCTGAAAATGAGACCATGAGGGTCATGGCGAGGAGTGTCACTGGTAAAACCTGATGTGTGCTGTCAGTTTCCACCTGAAGAAAGATCATTATTTTTATATAATGTTTCTGTCTGCCAAGCCTAAATGTGGACCATTCCAGGAAGATGTTGGATAAAAGATCGAGAATCGAGACGGTAGAAGCTAATTAGTGATTCTAAATTGGATGTAACTTTTTAAAAAAAATAAGTTTACATCTGTAAATACTGATGGACTGATTCACGAGGTGGCGTTCTAGACCCAAATCTCTTCTGATAGAAGAAACATTTCCATAAATCTGATATATATCGTCACCACGGGCAACTGTGTATTATCAATGAAGTAACACTAACATTTTTTCCCATCATTTAGTCTCATTTAAAAACCCTATCCAGTTCGCAAAAGACCACAAACTATATTTTCAAACTAAAAAAAAAGTCCTGTCTTATATATGTATTGAATTCACAGTATTTTAATATAAAATTTCAATCTAATGAGTTTTAGGTGTTGCTCTTTGTTCTGCAGATTTGATAGTTTGAGTAAAACTGGAACGGGTCTACATTAATCAGCTGTCTTGTAGTAACCACTAGCACAGCTGTACTATAGAGTGAACCGGTTAACATTTACGTTCTACGTGCACAAAAGTTTTTGTCACGTCTAGACACAGCAGAAAAAAAAAATCAGGACATTCACTATAACCTTTAACAAAACGTTTCCCTTCATGCTCAAACACACACAAAGAACACAATATGTAGATTGGTACAAATAGAGAACACCTTGTATCAAAACATTGAAAGTGGCCTCAGCTTCCCCTTCTTTTCTGTGCTAATTACCTCTCTTCCATCTCAATCAATAAGATGCAAGGTGATTGTCTGGTTAACATTCTCCGTACATCCTTCATCAAACCAGCTGCCAAGCGCTCTCTTTCTCTCTCTCCCCCCTCCCCTTTTCTCTGTCTCTTTCCCAGTCTCTTTCTCTCATGCACACGCATTTCCTCCAGGGGACGAGCTGGAAAGGGGTACAGCAACAGCACACTCAGATACAATCAGGACCACTGATCTAATTCCCTCTTGTCCATCTACACACACATTCAATTTGTTAGGACGCTTAGAGGAGTCTCTGGTGAGGTGTTTGTCTGACTTGATCTTTCTGGCAGCGGGCCTCACGGTTTCAGCTTAATGTGAGTGCAAGTGTGCGTGCACAAATCGAATACGTATCAAGATGTGTTTCCAGCATGTTTATATGCAGAATATTCCCCCCATACATTGGCCTTTTCACACCATCACCAAACTGCATTAAGGGGAAGACAATCCAATCCAAGAAAAACAGCCCCGGAAAGTTTCACGGCCAAGAGCAACACGAGGAGCAGATGAGAGGTCTCTCTAAAGTATGCCTCTAATATCGAGTCAGTGGTCAACCTTTTAATAGTGCCGCACATTAAAGCCTTGTCGCTGCGTGCCAGCCTGCCTGCCTGCTGGTCCACCAACAAGGTGACTTCCCCTCCCTCAGAGAAGTATATAGGTCATTTGCTCTCTCTGCTTATGAAACCAGAGCAGACAGGCCAGGCTGCAGTGACTGTGCACCAACGTCTGCCAGTAGCCCAGAACCAAAAACGAGCAGCCAGACATTCCCAAATCAGCCGCTTTTAGCAGCCTACAGTTTACACGTGCAGCATATACAAAGAATATTAGCAATTTTGTAACAATTTTTTATAAGCTTACAGTAAATGCAATTATGGCCCCTAGCTGAAACCAAAATGGGGATATAGTGGTTATATTTTGTGTGTCTATCTTTGACTACTGGGCCACAAGAACACAACAAATGAATGAATTTCCTTTTTTTTGGCCTGCCAATTTAGTGGCTTGAAATATTAAGTGGTCACAGTTTATGTCTGCTTTGATGAAACTTGAATGATGATGTGCAACTTGGTGAAATGTCTTGTTAAAGCTAGATGTCTAAAATGTTAATTCCCACAGCCTCGTGTCACATTTCATCTTGAATGAAGACAAAAAAAACTGAGTCAGAAAGCAGAGTTAATGGTGACTTAGTACAGATGTTCTTTTTTTGGGAGGGTAGCCCTAATAATAGTTCTAAAACAATGCACAGGATGATTGTTTCTGCAGAAACTTCTGCAGGCAACTGCTGTGAACCGGGAACGGGGCCTTTTTCTTTTCTTTTCTTGACCCCTGTCTTCTCTATTTCTGGGTACAGTCTCAGACTAACTCAATGGGACTGACTGCACAGATCAAAGGTCTCATTCTTCGCTCCAGTTGCTTTTTTTCCCCTTCTAACTGAAACCCCAGGGCAGCAGTTTCATTGTTTTCAGTGTCCTTTCATCTTAAAAGATAACACACAAAGCTAACAACTGATTTAGTTGCTGTGTATTTCCCAGGAGGGCCCAGATGAGTACGAGTACACAATGCCCGATTCTTCCCACCAAAATGTACAAACAGAAATGTGTGTCTTCTACTTGCTCTTGCTCCCTCCTTATCAGACCAACGTGCTGCTTGGGGAAGATATTAATGAAAAAGCCAAAAATGAAAAGAAGCATGTTATCTTGAAGGCTGAGAAAAGCCCACTGCGCCCACCAAACTGTGTGAAGACCAAACCACAGGACAGATGTTGCTCAAATTGGCCTCGTGTTTTTTTTGTGGGGGTTTTTTTTTACGAGTAATTCGGATGTCACACTGAGAGCATTCTTCAAATGGTTCAAATATCTCCACCCTCTCTCAGCTGCAGCAGGAATGCTCAGTCATTAAGAGCTACAGCCAGGAAGGATGGTCATTTTAGCCACAGATTTATCAGAACCCGGAAAACTGATAATGACTGCAGTCACTCACAGCTGGTCTCTCTTTTTTTTAATCAAGGAGTCTTCTTTGGCCCTAGTGCAAATCCTCCGATAGCCATAAAAAAAGGTCAATACAGGTCACAACAAAGGGGCAGCAATCATTTGACTAAGGCATAACAAAAACAATTAGTTGCTATAGAAACCACGCCGTTGAAGAAAACTAACGAACGAGGGAGACATATAGAGGAAGTCCAGTTATTCTGGCTTTATCAAGATAACATCATTATGGGTGAATAACTGGGCACAAAACGGCTTTATGATGGACGGCAGCGAGGCTTCGTGGTTAGAAATGAACCCTGTGACCCGCATGCTGTAAGTACATTAGCATGACAGCGTCAGTAAACAAGCGAGTGAACCACAGACAGGGCACTGTTATACAGAGAAACAATGTCCTCATCACGCATGTTACACCGCCTGTCGCACACAAACACACGCGTGTGCTGAACTGTGTTTACACCGCTGTACAGCCGGCCGCCTACTGTAAAGATAAACGCACTGACTCGCTCATTCTAGAGGCTGATTAAGTGCCACGGCCTCCCTGAACCTGCCCTTCATGAAAGAGAAGCATCCTTGACTCTGGAAAGAGAAAAAAGGGAAAAGAAAAAACAGCTTCCACGGTACAGTACCTCTCTACAGTCTGGCCTACAATATTTATGTAATACACACCCTGGCATGCTGAAAAACCTTAAGCTAGACCAGTTCAAAGAATATTTATGTAACGCATAACTTGGCATGTTGGGAAAGGTAAAGGTAGATTAGTTAGAAAGAGGACGAAATGGCTTACATAACCATGAGCAGACAGTATAAACATTAGGCTGACACCCACTCGCCGCCTCTCAAAGGGAGAGAGGTCTTATGGGTAGTGTTAATGAGCCACAAGGGATTTATTTTTCCTGGTGAAGGTGACCCTGGCATTGGGCAGAGAGTACCTGAGCATACAGAAATATGAGATTTCCTCTTTGCTAGGCTTGTGTTACACATGTGTTAAGGTTACAGTATAATCTACTCTGACTGCTGCTTTTGGTTAAGAAAGAGGAATCAGCCTTAAGATGTTTAGCACACCTGTGAATGTTTATTGCCTTTACTTTTTTCTTGTTACATTACAATTGACAAAGAGTCAAACTACAGGGCTTATGTGAGTATAGCAACAGCAAATAATATGTATTATGTCAGCCGTGTTTGCATTCCTCATGTTAAACCCAAAGCTGTCATGTTGTCTCGCCTCCATGGATTATTCCCGCAAACTTTAGGTGACCTTACCCATGACAGCGAAATCACATTTATCTTCCTTTTAGAAATCCACTGTTTTGACTGTAAACAAAGGCGTAGAAATGCACACACGCACGCAGACACGCCGCCCTCTTAAGGCGTTCACACCGCCTTGGTCGACGGGAGG